TATTTTTATTTTACTTGAAGACAGACAAAATAAGCTTCTCAATTCTAAGGAGATAACATTTTTCATAGTCTGTATAAAAAATCAAAACTTGTGATTTATATTTCTCAAATGTGGAAAACGGTATATGTCTAGTTAGTGTGGAATAACTCCATATCACTTTAAACCACTAAAATCTGATTCTTTTATCTTAGTTTTAATACAGTAATATAAAAAGTTTAATATAAAGCATTTCTTTCAAGTGTACTGTTATTATTATTATCATTATTAGAAAATACAGACTACTGTATGAGGAATGTACAATACATAGACTTTCAGAACAGACAATAACAATCAATTATTAACAATGAATAAATAAATACATGCAATGCAGACATACATGATTGCTTAGTATTGTTTATTTAGAAAAGCTGGTCCAGCGCACCCGTGTATACTACTTCAAACTGTTCTTGCACTCTGCCATCTCACCATACAAATAAACATATAAACAAATAAACACTGCTTGCTGTAGTTTATATAGGACTTTTGTGGAATATACATTGATACAGCTTTATTATGTATGGTATGTGGTTTATCTTGATTCAGAAACTGTTTTTGTGCTGTTTAGCGCTCCTCAGCACATTCAGAGAGAGAGAGAGATCACTTCCCATGTATGTTTTTTCCACACACCTCTTTCTGTTCTCCTTTTTGATTCAGATGAGGTTTCCCAGCATCCCTCAACCTTCCTTACTGTCCTTCCATTTGTTCATGTCAGCTCTTCTTTTTTGGCTAGCATTTGCTTTTTAATGTCTGAAGCGAACATGAAAGCAAACAACATCTTAATTCCTCCTAATGTACATAAACAGTTTTCTGCGTGACACTATTTTGATGTTTAAAATACAGATTCTTGGTCGCACAAAAATATCATAATATATTAATGTATAATATAAATAATAAGTTCGCACATACTATTATTGTTGCATGGTTATCTAATTATATATATATATATATATATATATATATATATATATATATATATATATATATATATATATTTTTTTTTTTTTTTTTTACACTTTGGATTTTTTTGACTGTCACATGCACTCATTTAATGTGTTCCTCATAATTTTTATTGTTTTGTATTTTTCTTCAAATTAAACTTGTATTCCAATTTTGGCTTTGCAACACATTACCAAAAAAGTTGTTTCAGTAAAGCATTTATCACTTTGTAATGTTGCCTTTCCTTTTCACAACACTTACAAGACGTTTAGGGACTGAAGACAGCAAGTGATGAAGTGTTTCAGCTGTAACTTTGTCCCATTCTTCCTGCACACAAGTCTTAGGTGCGCAACAGTACGGGGTCTTTGTTGCCATATTAAACACTTCAAAATGTGCCACACATTCTCTATTGGAGACAGGTCGGGACTGCAGACAGGCCAATTCAGTACCTGTATCCTGTTCCTCCACAGCCAGGATTATATAATGTGTGCAGAATTTGGTTTTGCATTGTCTTGTTGAAATATTGAAATATTCATGAGCATCTCTGAAAAAGTAGGCAGCATGTTGTGCTCCAAAATCTCTGTGTACTTTTCAGCAGTAATGGTGCATCACAAAAGTGCAATTTACCTTTGCCAAAAGCACTGACACAACCCCAAAACATGACAGAGCCTGGGTTTTGAACTTGTTGTTGGTAACAGTCTGGATGATCCTTTTCTTTGGTCCGGAGCACACAGCGTCCATTTCTCCCCAAAGATACCTGAAATACTGATTCATCTGACCACAGTACACATTTACACTGTGTGATTGTCCATCCCAGAAGCTGAAGCTGAACTTTTGGACACTGTCAACATAAGACTTCCTCTTGGCCTCTGGCATTTGTGGATGTATTTATGTATAGTGATACTTGATAAAGGTTTACCAAAGTAGTCCTGAACCCATGTGGTGATATGGTTTATAGATAAATGAGGATTCTTGATGCAGTGCTGCCTGAGGGATCCGAGATAACAGTTGTTCAGTTTAGGCTTGTGCTCTTGTCCTTTATGCACTGAATTTCCTCCAGATACCTTCTATCTTTTAATGATGTTATGCACTGTTGAAGATTACATATCCAAATGTCTTTCTCTCTTTCTTTGAGGAACATTGTTTTATAACATTGTAATCATTTTCTCACTTATTTGTTGGTAAACTAGTGATCCTCAGCCCATCTTTGTTCCTAAAGGACTAGAACTTTCGTGAATGCTGCTTTTGCACCAAATGATAAATAAAATCACCTGTTATTTTAGTATGCCCCAAATTTTAGTATGTAAAATGTTTCAGCGTACCAAAAAGGTTTTGTTATGGTTTGTGTTTATGCAAGTGAGACAAGTGTGGTGCTAATCGACAAGAGAAGACACCAATATTGGTCCATACTAATCAAGCAATACAACTGTTCATTGCTGGTACACACTGCTGATATCAATTATCACAATAATATTCAATAATCATGAATCATACTCATGAACATCATTAATCCAAATACAAAAAAATTGCATAAAGGCTTATAATGTGAAATAAAGATGAGATTACATGAATAAAAGACAGATAATGAAAACCCTAAGCAATTTGATACAAGTATATACAACCTCAGAGGCGTGCCATCATTTTCCTCTTCAAAGACTGGGGAGCCCGTGACATTGGAAAACCAACACGTGTGTCCGAGAATGCCAGACGATGTGCACTTGTCCCGTGGCTGAGCTTCCAATGTTTTAGCAAGAAACCCTCACCTTTATAGTCAAAATTTGGGTGCTAGCCAAAGGTCGGCCTAATAGACCAATTACCATGTTTGTAAACATTCAGGATGCGCGCGCAGGGAGGTGGCAGAAAGCAACTGGGAGCTCTAGTATTTACAGCGAGGGGATGACATCAGATGCGCTGCAGAGCTTGTTGTTGTCTTAGAAATAAGATATATTACTTACATATTATATATATTATTTACATAATGCTTACAGCATATTATAACAGCTCGTCACCCAGTGACAAGCACAGTGATTCAGTAAAATTAACGTTAAAGTGAGCGGCGTTCATCTGACAGCTCCATTTGCGATGCCACCCTCCCAATGAATATTGGATAAGACGAAGTGACCAAGCATCCAGCCCCAAATATACAATCTCAATGAAGCTCCGAGTGATTTTACAAGAGAGAAGTTAAAGGTTTACAAGTCTTTGGATGCCAACAATGTTGTTCTTTGAGGTCATGTGCAATAAATATGCTCCATGATGACCAGATTCAAGAGCTAAACACAGAGATTCCGCCTAGCCAAAGACAAGGAAACAAGATGGAGCTAACGTTATACAAGGCCTGGGTAATTAATCACCAACACGCAAAACGACTGCATTCTGACAGTGAACTGCACCTGTACGGCAGGGTATGTGAACCTACACATAGAGGTAAAGTTGGTTTTATATTCGCACATTCAGACTTTCTCCTTAATAATATAATTTCAGTAAAGTATTATTTGCAAACTCTAAATAGCGAAATCATATTAGCAGCAGCCAATGACTATCAAAGTACAACATGTTCACAGTCAAATAAACAGTGTTAATGTTGTTTTCAAGTCACACTTGCAGGTTATTTCAGACCCAATATTCAATGTGCCGTGGTAAACAATATAGGGAGTGTGTCACAAGTTGTCACTGAATGAATGTGTGAATATAAAACTAAGTTTACCTTAATAAAAGTAACTTTCACGTTTCATTCTGAGCATTCAGTGTCAGCAGATTAATTAACCACATGTAACTGTTTTTGCTGAAATCATTTCTGCAATCAAAATCGAGTGATGTGTCTGATTCAGCATAGCGTGAACTGACCTGATATGACATGAGAACTGCAGAGTCCAGCATTTCTACTTAGCTCCTCACTTCATTCAGCTCCCATTTAGCCAAAGACGTCTGCAGTCGGTATTAAAGCAGTGTGTGGTGGATGGTAAAAGTTAAGTTTTCTGTTTTTGGACTCGAATTCGGCATCCTACCGCACAACACGACATCTTTCCCATTGTAGCTGTTTTCTGCAACCGGGGACCCGTGTGACGTCATGTGTGACGTAGGTTGGTAATTGGTCTATAGGTAAGAGAGTAGATTGAGTTGATCAGGCCCACCATCTCTCTCAGCTAGGTGCACATTATTTCTGATTGCAAAGCACAAATTGACTGAATAATAATGTATTTTTACAAATGAAATAAAGTTGACCAGACAAAACATGAAATATTTTGTGTTCATATTGTCTGTCATGAAACAAGTCAGAATAAGTGTGGAAATCACTTTTTTATTTGCAATACTGTTCCATCTTTTTCTGATTTGGGGTTGTATATATTGGTTCTTTACCTAGTCCTATGCTTTAGTTTTGTCTAGATTCAATCACATTATATGTAGCCAGAAAGTTCAACATACAAAATTTTAATCCCTTTTTTAAAATAGCATTATTCATTTTTTTAGAAGTATTGTTATTAAGGTTTTTAAGTTCCTTAAGTAACTGTGAAGATATTTTAACTAAAGTTTTGTAATATAAGCTGCATATATCTATTTGCCAATGTATGATTATACATTTTATTTATTAAATTCATAACGTTTGATAATGAATGGTTGATTTTCTATTTTAAGAGAGACAAAGGAGGAGGAGTACAAGTGGTGATCGTCCTAACAGTAAGCGGATTATGTTATATTGCACATTATGAGAACATCTTTGAGATTCATGTGTAAAATAGTTCCTAGTACATTTATACAATCAACATAAACAATTTGTTTTTAATGTGCTAAAAATATGCAAAGTGAATTTAAATTTTAAATTCAACCAAAAACTACTAGAGCAGCTATTAATCATGCAGTTTAGAAAAAATAAACAAATATAAAACATCACAAACTATAGGAAACTGTTGCTATTAACACAATTTTTTTGTGAACCTGAATTAGCAAATATTTGAGTGCCAGTAGTTAATGTGGTATTGCTGCATTTTCCTAGTGTTTTCTTTACAGTGTTGTTGTGTTTTCAGTGTGTGATTTAAGAATCGTTCTTCTTGGAAAAAGTGCATCGGAAAACAGCCGAGTCAGAAATTTGATCCTGGGAACAGATCCATGTGAAAATGAAGATCCGGCAGCTTGTCTGAGGCACAATGTGACGCAGATTGCTGGAACAGTGAAGGACAGACACGTGACGGTCATTAACACTCTTCATCTGCTGAATCCAGACACTACAGATCATCAGATCACACAGACAGTCAAAGAGTGTGTAGAAATGTCTGATCCAGGACCTCATGCGTTTATACTGGTACTACAGTACAAAGACTTCACAGAGGACGACATGAGAAGAGTCAAATATGTGCTCAACACATTCAGTGAAGATGCACTTAAACACACTATTGCTCTCACCACTGACAAAGAGACGCCCAGATCAATGTTTAGTGCTTTTAAACTGACTGGAGGCTCTGCTGCGGTGCAAACTATTCATCAGCTAATTAAGGAGTGTGGAGGAGGACATCTGCAGCTGGATGAGAGAAATAAAGCAGATATAATTCAGCTGATTGATAAGATTCTCCAGGAAAACCAGGAAGCGTATCTCACATGTGACACATTCAGTGAGGTTATAGGAACTTCTGTGGATGAAGAGCCAGTAAGTTTGGAGGATAAAAACGAGAAAAGCCCTCGCCACAGTGATGATGGAAAACCCAAAGAGGCACAGAAACTGAGAAGTAAAGAAGGAAGACTCTCTTGTAAGTTTTCAGAATTACCGTTTTAAGATTTATGAATGACAGTTTCAACTAAATACATTTAAAGTGCAGTCTTTAATATCCAAGGTCAATCTCAGAAATCAAAGAAATCATGTGAAAAGTCACTAGAATAAAATGAAGATTATAAGTCAAGTAGTAACAAAGGAACACATTGAATGGAAAGGAGAACAGAAAGCTAAAAGCAGAAACGGTTACAGATTCTTAGAGTTGTGTCTTGCAATGTAGCTGAAAAGCATTGGGGAGCTGTTTAGGGGGGATGTGACGTAGTTGGGAAAAAAAAAGGGGGGGGGGGGTGCGTGACATAAGAAGAGAGAGGTTTTAGGGGGGCGCACCCTCAACCCTCAAGTGGTGTAGGTGTCAGGCGAAATGGCCGTATAGGCATCAGGCCCCCGCACAGCCCATCTCATGGCTCCTCTAATGCCAGGGCCCTATGCCCTCAGTCACTCTTTTCCCTCTTCTTACGATGCCCATCTTTAATTACTTGTTAGTACATTTGTTAATATTTAATTTATGCTAAATATATCATGCTCTATAAAAAAAAAGAATATTAATTAAGAGTGCAAAATGAACTCACAACCTGTTAATGTGTCTTTATGCAACTTATGTAACTTAAAGGGACACATTATCATTAACTCATCCTTAACAACTCATGAACTCCTGTGTGTTTGTGTTGACACTGAAAACAATACAAAAGTCTACATCATAATGAACAGTTATGAGCTATTTATGAACAATGAGTTAATGATAATGCACCCCTCCAAGTAAAGTCATGACAAAACATTATTTATTTAGTAATATTGAAGTGTTACTATTTAACCTAATGTGGGCAGTAGGGAGGTGGATGCCACTTTTAGCTTATTCAGGTTTTTCGCCTGTTTTTGGCCAGAGAGGGAGCAAGGTAATCTGTTTTTTTTTTTTTTTGGTTAATAACCAAATACATGTAAAACTTTATTTGACGTTGCATAAAGAAAACCTGTGAGTTTCCTGTGGAGTGCTGAGACAGGAGAAAAATAGGAAACACTGGCTGCTTTTCCATTTTCTATTTAGTTAATTATTTTTTTCTTGGCCTTATTTTGGGGGCTAAATTTATTATTTATAAAAGACATAGTTCAATACTTATTCGCCCAAATAGTAAGTAATTATTGAACGCAAAGTAATCTGGGTTATGTAAGTGTTGTGTCATAGTGTGACTGAACATTATGCTCATATATTTCTTTGCCTTTCAGTGTCTGCAAACCTCACTGGGAGACAGAAGCTGAATCTGGTGCTCTGTGGAAGTAATGGATCACTTAAAGTCTCTGTGTCTAAACTTTTACGTGGAAAAAAGTTCAAATCAACAAGTAGGCAGGCAAGTAGTGAAATTTGTGTGAGGAAAGAGAAGATTCACGGTCGTCAGGTCAGTCTGCTGGAGCTTCCAGCTCTCAGTCGTCTCTCAGAAGATGAAGTGATGCGTCAGACTCTCCACTGCGTCTCTCTCTGTGATTCTGAAGTTCATGCTTTCCTCCTCATTATTCCTGCTGGTCCTCTGACTGATGAAGAAAAAGCAGAAATAGAGACAATTAGAAGAACATTTGACTCTTGTGAGCAATTCATACTACTGTTCATGACAAAACAGACTGTTGAAGGACCCGTGACAGATTTTGTTAAATTCCACGAAGATTCTAAAAGATTGTGCAGTCAGTATGGTGGCAGATACAAAGTGATGGGGTTAAAGGAACATAAGAATTCAAAACAGATCCTGGAGCTGTTTAGTTACATTGAGAACTTGAACACTAAGCCATATTCACTTCAGATGTACATGACAGCTCAACAGAACAGACTTAGAGGTGAACTGGAAGAAAAAATAAGCGAAATGGAAAAGAAAATCAAAGACTTGCAGCAGAAGAATGAAGGTAGAGTGAACAGTTCATATATTTGCATTAATTGTTATTATTATTATTATTATTATTATTATTATTATTTTTTTTTTTTTTAACTAAATACTGTTTTGGTATCAAATATTCAAATATTGTAAAAGTTTAGTTCACTAAATCTACAGTACATTTCTAAATATCTTGTTGTTTTGAAGAATATTTGAATAAACTCTTGATATAGTTTATTATATTGGCATTATTTATATGGGTATGGGTATAATATGGGAATACACTTGGGCCATCTTGTGAGTGTGTGATAACCTATGACAGGATTGGACCCTGTTTTCTCTTTTTTTGTTGCTAAATTAACATTGACAGACAGAAACGTGTATTAGTCTGGTGTCACTGTAATACCAATACTCAAATACAGTATACTGATACACATATATTTGCCCAACTGTTTACATTCAATTCAACATTACTGTTTAAGTGTACATCTGTCATTATTGTTTGTATACTGTAATTGACCCTTTGCTAAGCCCTGCCCTCCTTAGTTACTGTTGCTACGCCTGTCAAGCTTTCGTGCCTGGCACGTCTATTACAATATGTATGCGCCAGTGTCAGACATTGCCAGGGAAAAAAGGACTGCATGCATTACAGGAGTATATTCACCACATAATAGCAACCAATTTTTTATTTATTTATTTATCAGGATCCCCATTAGCCACTACCAAGGTAGTGGCTATTCTTCCTGGGGTCCATCGAACATAACACAAAATTACATTAATACACAACAACAAAGACTAATAAAAACATTAAAATACAAAATTCATACATAACATCCAAATCAACAATCCACTTAATATTGTTCCATAAAATATTTTTTAAATGATTTTTTAAACCTCCTTTTACTTGTTACAAAGCATGTAATGTCTGACGGCAATTCATTCCATATTTTCATTCCTCTATACATCACAGTACGTTGCTTTGCATTAGTAAATAATAGCAACCAATTAGAGAATAATTCAATCAAAATTGAAGCCAAAGTCTAGCCACCTCATACGCTGACCATTCAACAGCTTAGCTCATCATGCAGAGCAGGAGACATTTAAAAAGAATCTGTGATTTCTCTATTTTAGCCAAAAAGTCTGATAAACTATTATTGCGCAAATAAAGCATTACGAGCTGACAAAGAAACCCGCATGACAGTGCTTCTATATAACTCATTCATAGAACGAAAAGGCCAGAAAGGGGAAATTGATGGATTTGTGCCCAATATTAGCATCATTGACTCATAACAATGTACAGTATCTGGATGCCCCCATATGGAAATATGACTGGATTGTGCTGCTTTTACAGCCCCTCACAGAGCTTGATCTACACTGGCATTTCTCCCCTTGGGTTTTAGGCTTTGAAAAGGGAAAACAATTCCACCACCCTGTCCAAACATTTAGGATACCGAGTATCAGATTTACACAATCCATATGCACAACCCTTCGGCTTGTTTCCCTCTCTTGAAAGCTTGACAGACCTACTGCAAAGCTATGGTTGCTGAGCCACAATTAGTGTGTGGTGGTTTTCGGGTGTGGCTTAGCAAAGTGTCAGTTGTCTAATAATTGTCAAAATGTGAAAAGAACATAATTCACTACTTCTACACTAAGAAACAGCTTTCTGTGTACATTACAATCTCTGTAGTTTGCCTGTTTGTCTCCTTGGTAAGACAACTTGCTGGTTGACAGATAAAGGCAGAATCTAGAATCTAGACAAAAACCAGAAGACCCAACAAATATCCAAAATATATTTTCTATACAAAGACCCCACTGTAAAAAGGCAATGTTTTTCAGAGAAAGCAAGATATTTAAGAGCCTACTCTCATCACAAAGCCTTCTACATTTCCTGGTACCTTTCCACTCAGAGCTCGCTCTCTACTCCCTTATGGCCCGTTTTTATTGAGTGGAACAGTATGGTTTGGTTCGGTATGTTTTTATGGCGTTTTATGGCAGTTTTTATTTCCACTGTCAAAAGGTGTACCGTACCACTTTTTCGGCATCCTTTCGATAAAGTACCAAACACGAGAAAGGGTACCAAAAGGAGGAGCTACACATGCAGCTGAAGGCTATTGGTTTACAGAGATACGTCATTCACTTGCGCAAAAAGCCAAAAAAAAAACCAAAGGATCTGCCATGTATAAAACACACAGCCGAGAGATTTTTTACAGCGTAATTATATATACTGTAACGGAATAAAGAGGGAAAATATACACACACTCGGATGTAACAAGTGAAAGCCCCGGAGGGGTGTTTATTTACAAGTGCAGTCCGATTTGTATGTGAGAAAGTGCTTCGTTGTGCTTCCTTCAGTCCCAGAAAATGCCGTGTTTAGGTGGTGATGATTATGATGTTGTCCTTGGGTCCATGAAGGGGTAGCAGTGGGGGTGAGCTCCAATCAGCCACTCGATTCTGCGAGATAGAACACATAATTGTTAGCATAGGGGTTTCTTGTTAGAAGTCACTCACTTGCTTGTCCTCTTGTGTGGTTTAAATCCCCTTCTCTTCATGAGCGACCGATGTGGCTGATTGGTCTTGAGTATGGTGCAGCTGGTTTACACTACGGACCATGGCGATGGGGAATTGGATGACTCGCCACAATCCCCCACCCCCCCAAAGCATTGTCCTGGTCCGGGAAGTCTTCCTGTTGGCAGAAGAGGAGAGATTAGGGTTGGGGGGGTGGGGTGTTTTGACAGACCTGTCCATCCAGACCATATCCTTGAAAGACCGTCTGCGTTCCCATGGGAGGCCCCAGCCCGATGTCTCACTCTGAAGTGGAAGTCCTGTAGTGCCAGAAACCATCTTGTGACCCGAGAATTAGTATCCTTTGCTCTGGCCATCCACTGAAGCGGGGCATGATCAGTAACCAGTGTGAAGGACCGTCCTAGCAGGAAGTAGCGGAGCTCCAGAACTGCCCACTTTATGGCTAGGGCCTCCTTTTCGACGGCCGCGTACTTCCGTTCTGCAAGGTTAAGCTTCCAGGACTGCTCCCAGGCCTGAGTCGGAAGCGTCGGTCAAAGGGGCAGCTGAAGTCAGGGGCATGAAGTACCGGGGAGGAGGACAGGATCTGCTTCAACTCCTGGAATGCCTTTTCCGCTGCTGGGGTCCAGTGGACTTTCTCTGGCTGCCCCTTCATTGTGAGGTCTGTCAGTGGGCTGGCTATAGATGAAAAATTGGGGATAAAACATCGATAGTAGCCCGCTAACCCCAAGAAAGCTCGTACCTTGGCTTTTGTAGACGGTGTAGTCGCCTTCTTTATGGCATCCACTTTCGTTGACTGTGGCTGTATTAGTCCCCTTCCAATAGTGTAACCCAGGTACTTGGCCTCCGCGAGTCCTAGATGGCATTTTTGGGGGTTAGCTTTGAGTCCTGCCTGACGTAGCTCCAACAGCACCCTCCGCATACAGGTAAGAGGGTCTTCCCAAGTGCTCGGGTGGATGGCGACATCGTCCAGGTATGCTGCAGCGTAATTCTGATGGGGACGGAGCAAGATATCATACACTGGAATGTCGCCGGGGCCCCATGGAGCCTGAAGGGAAGGACCCGGTACTGCCAGTGGTCACCCGGGGTCGAGAAGGCAGTTTTTTCTTTGGCAGCAGAGGACACTGGTACCTGCCAGTATCCTTTCGTAAGGTCGAGAGTGTTGATGAATCTGGCTCCACCCAGCCGATTGAGCAGTTCATCCACCCGAGGCATTGGATACCTGTCAAAGCTAGATGTTTCGTTGAGCCTCCGATAATCATTACAGACACTGAGGGTGCCATTAGATTTAGCGACTTTCACGATCGGACTGGACCACGGGCTACATGATGGTTCGATGACCCCCATCTTCAACATCTTCTGGATTTCTTCTGCAATAGCCAGCCGGCAAGCCTCCAGGATCCGGTTGGGCCGCTGCTGCACGACTACCCTGGGGTGGTCCTGATGTCATGTTGGATGATGGAGATGCACCCAGGCATTTCACAGAACACATCCTGGAACTGACTGACCAGGGCTTATAGTTCCGTCTTCTGAGTAGCCGACAAATGTTCTCCCAGATGTACAATGGGTTGATGGGTCTTTGTGAAGGCCACCAGCTGACCAGGAGGAGGGATCCATCACGGCGGCGTCCCTGCTGACGGACACGGTAATTGACCGGACCGACCCGTTCCACCATCTCATATGGACCTTTCTAGGATGCCAGAAACTTGCAGTTTGTGGTTGGTATAAGTAGCATTTCCTTATCCCCTGGTTGGAACTCCCTGGCCTGGGTCGGTTGGTCATAGAGGTGTTGATGGGCGCACTGGGCTTCGCTGAGGTGCTCTCGGACAAGGGGCATCACTCGATCTATCCATGCTCTCATGTCCGGTACATGCTCAATGACTGTTCTTTGAGGGGCCGGATCCTGTTCCCAGGCCTGTTGGGCAACATCCAGGAGTCTGCGGGGCTGTCGTCCGAAAAGTATTTCTAATGGTGTGAAGCCTGTGGAGGCCTGGGGTACTTCCCGTTTGCCGAAAATATGTACGGGATCATAAGGTCCCAGTCATGCCCATCCTCTGCGACCACTCAGCGGAGCATCTGTTTCAGCGTCTGGTTGAACCGCTCCACTAGACCATCTGTTTGAGGGTGATAAACGGATGTCCGCAGCTGTTTCGTTTAGAGAAGTCGGCAGAGGTCTGCAATCAACTGGGACATGAAGGGGGTTCCCTGGTCAGTCAGGATCTCGGAGGGTATCCCAACCGACTGCAGAGCAGGAAGAGTTCCTTAGCGATGGCCGGAGCGGTGGCTTTGCGTAGGGAAATAGCCTCAGGGTATCTGGTGGCATAATCCAGGATTACCAGGATGTGTTCATGGCCCCGGGCTGATTTTGGTAGCGGCCCTATCAGATCCATCCCGATCCGGGAGAAGGGCACCTCTATGATGGGTAATGGGATTAGCGGGCTGGGGGGAGGACGCTGAGGGTTTGTCTTTTGACAGGTGGGGCAAGCCTGGCAGAACTGTCGAACTGCTGCTTCAAGCCCCGGCCAGTGAAATCGGTCCCGGATTCTCTGAACAGTGTTCGCCACTCCCAGATGTTCTGCCATTGGGTGGGTATGGGCCAACTCCAGGACAGTTTTGGTCTTGCTTCTGGGCACGACCAACAGTTTCTTTTTCTCCCCCTGCCGCTCTGCGACATAGTACAGCAGCCCATTTTGTATAATGAAGTGTGGGAGGGGGTTAGGAGCAGGCAATCTTTCTTGATCTTCCACCACTCTTACTGAGCACAACAGTTCCGCAGCGTCTCGTTCTTTCTTTGGGCTTTCCCAAATGATCCTCCTGTTGTCATCTGTTGGAACACATCAAAAAATACATTAGGTGGAATATTTGTACACTCACCCCCTCTGTAGCTTTCTGTAGCCATCATCGCCCTTTTTTGTCGTTGCCGTATGTTGGTTCTTGGTTGTTCTGTGAGGAGCTCCTGTAATCCTGGCCAATCTCTCCCGAGCAGGAGAGGAACAGGGAGATCCGGGACAACGCCGACCTCTAAAGGCCATGAGCCTGGACCACCTGCAATTGTCACCAATTGTGTTGGCATTCGTCTGGTGTCTCCATGTACACAGGTGATGGGGATGGTGGCTTTTGACTGCATCGAGTAGTTACAGTCCCTGGTTGTATAGCACTTGTTATAGCACTTCCTGTATCTAGTATGGCATTAACTGTTCTCCCTTCAACTTTCACCTTGCGTGTCGGGGCGCCTCTTGACATCGTTTGGTGGACAATGCAGCCGGTCAGCCATGCTCGTGCCGAAGGGGAAGGTGGCTCGGTGGGCATTGGTTCATCCTCTGGGCTCGGGAACATGGGTCTGCTGCCTGGTCTGGAGGTGCCTTCTGCCATTCGCCAGGTCGCCCTCCGGGCTGGGCTGTTGCTCTCTCTGTAGTATCGCGGGTCGTGGTGACGTCAGCCAGCTCCACTACTTCATCCAGCTGTGCTAGAGATGTTGGATTCCTTATGCTGACCGGAATTCTAAGACGTCTGGGGAGTGCGCGGAGCAGCTGCTCTATAATTACTTTTTCAGCAACCTGGACGCCCTTGGGGTTTCCCCCTAGAAGCCACAAATGGGCGAGACGTGTAAGATGTTCTGCTTGAGTAGGGATGGGAGTGTTGTCATCATAGGTCCAACCAGTAAATTGTTGTGCTGCACATACTGATGATAGCCCTACCCGGCCTAATATTTCACTCTTAAGTGCCTCATAATCTTCATTTTTTGGTGGTTCAAGAGAATAATATGCCTTCTGTGGCTCCCTAGTTAAATAAGGAGCTAATGTATGGGCCCACTCATTTTTAGGCCATTTTTCTCTTAAAGCTATTATTGCAGGTAAGCATCAATATCGTCCAGGTCGCTGAGTTTGGTCAACATTGGCTGAGCGGCTGGCCGCGATTCTGGAAGTGAAACGCGTTCAGCGAGCTGGAGGATTTTCTGTTCCATTTTCTCCTGTCTGCTGGCTAACTGCTCTGAAAATAGCTGCTGACGGGTGGATGGCTCCGCCAGGTGGCATATTACCTCCTCCATGACGTCACTCCTTCTTGGGGATTCCCTTAGCAGAGTCGCCGGCAAACCCGGAAGTGCCTGGAGTAGCGAGAGAGAGAGAGCAACAAGCCCGCCTGCGAGAAACAAACGAGATGGCGAATAACTTGTCACAGGTAAGTGTTATATATATATATATATATATATATATATATATATATATATATATTTCTACTCTTTATAAGCACCGGATTCTCCACCAGTTGTGGCGGGATAAATAGGTAATATATACACACACTCGGATGTAACAAGTGAAAGTGCCGGAGGGGTGTTTATTTACAAGTGCAGTCCGATGTGTATGTGAAAAAGTGCTCCGTTGCTTCCTTCAGTCCCAGAAAGTGCCGTGTTTAGGTGGTGATGATTATGGTGTTGTCCTTGGGTCCGTGAAGGGGTAGCAGTGGGGGTGAGCTCCAATCAGCCACTCGATTCTGCGAGATAGAACACAGAATTGCTAGCATGGGGGTTTCTTGTTAGAAGTCACTCACTCGCTTGTCCTCTTGTGCGGTTGAAATCCCCTTCTCTTCATGAGCCACCGGTGTGGCTGATTGGGCTTGAGTATGGTGCAGCTGGTGTACACTACGGACCATGGCGACGGGGAATTGGATGACTTGCCACAATACATATAATAACGAGCCATGGTCGACCTGAGCTCAAACAAACCTTGTCGTCATCTTAATGAACAGCCACAAAGCCAAGAAAAACAGATTTGCCTGTGCCCCTTAGTTTTTTACGAGCCAGTGTGAAGCACAAGCGGTTTAACTTTCTTGTTTGTGCTTGCGTGCGCATCTATATCTGAAATAACAAACTTCTTGACCTCATGATAATAACTTGTGCGTGATTATTGGTGTGCTTTTGAAACCCAAAAGTGCCTCTGCAATGTCAGACTGTTAGTAATAAACATTTATAAACAAGTATTTATGTGTAAAGCGTCTGTTTTGTGAGAAGTGCTTCTCATATGATATGTAAGCGACCCGTACAGCTTTACTGTAGACATTTTCTTGAGCGAAAATGACGTAGACTGAAACTTTCTGTCATACACCACACCCACCAAAAGAGTACCATTGGTAGTTGAAATGCAAGCCTGATAAAGGTGACCACTACCGACCTAAACCATACCGTACTGTACCAGTCAGTGGAAACGAGCCATTAATCTGTTCCATTCCCTGACTTTTCTTCAGAGATTGCTCCCATCACTGACCTTAAATCATTCCCTGGCTCAGTCCATTCTCTGATCCAGAGTCTGCTCTAGTCCCTGACTCTTCTAGAGTTCCTGACTCTGCTCCAAAACTGTTTTAAGCAGACATTACTAAGTGTATCTCTTGCATATGCAATTTCATCATTATTTTCAGCTTCAAGAAACTGCCTTGCCTTGTACTACATTAATGCTATCGACTGATTGATTTATGTACAGAGAAAAGGAACAACATGTTGCCAAAGAAGCTTCTGATAATTATTCGCATTCACACTATCTAGCTGTATAAAAGTCCAATCTACTGCAGGACTTCAATGATTTATTTGGGGACATTCTAAAGATGCAATATTTTAGAGATCCCATATTTGTGACTTTTGTCAGTAAAATGTTTGTCTAATACTTAATCTGACACATGGTGGTAATCTTTAACAATGCAGGGGGACCAATATTTTAAACCTAAAAATGACTAGACTCTCAGATGAAGACCTGTTGTCAAATTTTACAAAGTTTACTGAAGATAGTTTGCAGTTTCTTTAGCAGAAGCCAGCTTCAACACTCTTGTAGAGTTCGTAGTTTGCTCTGCGAACAATCTCAGAAACATCACACATAAGGACTCTGGATTTTGTAGACTAAGGATTTTGTAGGTTCTCTATTTTAGATTTTCAGTGTATTTGTAGATGGAGATAAAACATTTTTTTTGTAATTTCAATTTCTTGTAATCATAAATGTTAATCAAATATCTTTTATCATGATTTTTATCAGGTTCTGAACATGAAACCGACAATCATGAATGTCTGAGGATTGTAGTAATTGGGAGAACTGGAAGTGGAAAGAGTGCAACAGGAAACACTATTCTTGGAAGAGAGGAGTTTTGCAGCCAATTAAGGGCAGATTCAGTGACGAATGTCTGTGAGAAAGGAGTTGGAGAAGTTGATGGTCAATCTGTAGCTGTTATTGATACTCCAGGACTCTTCGACACGACACTAACAAAGAAACAAGTGGTGGAAGAAATAGTGAAGTGTGTTTCACTGTCAGCTCCTGGACCTCATGTGTTTGTCATTGTGGTGAGTTTGGGAAGATTCACCAAAGAGGAGGCAGACACTATTGATCTGATCAAGAAGATATTTGGTCAAAAAGCTGCTCAGTTCAGCATGGTTCTGTTCACCAGAGCAGACGAACTCAAAGATCAATCTATAGAGGATTATGTGAAGAGAAGCAAATCTGCAGAACTCCAGAAACTGATCAGAGATTGTGGAAACAGATTCCTGGCTTTCAATAACAGAGAAAAACAAGACAAAACTCAAGTGATGAAGCTGTTAAAGATGATAGAACAGGTGAACACTAATAATCAGGGTGGATACTTTACTAACAGCATGTTTGAGGAGGCAGAGATGTACATTAAGAAGAAGATGGAGGAGGAAATAAAAAAGAAAGAAAAAGAGATTCAGGCTCAAATTGAGACATTAAAGGCCAAATATGAAATTGAAATGAACAATGTAATGAAGAGACTCGAGGAAGAGAAACAAAGAGCAGAAGAGGAGAAATTGAAAATCGAGAGCAAATTCAGAGAAAAGGAGGAAAAATTAAAGAAAGAGTTTGAAGAGAAGGAGAAAGCAGATCAGATCAAGCAAGAGATTCAACACCAGAAACGATTAGAAGAGGAAAAACAGCAGAGAGCTGAATATCATCAGAGAATAGAAGAAATGATGAGAGAGATAGAAAACCAGAGATCACAATATGAACAACAGCAGAAAGAAAGAGAAGAAGAAGACAGAAAGAGAGAAGAGAAATACAGACAAGACCAAGAAAAGATGAGAAATGATCAAGAGAGAATTATAGCAGAGGTACAGAGAAAACAAGAGGAGGAAACAAAGAAGAAAGAATATGATAATCAAAAGAGGAACCAGGAAGAAGAGGAGGAAAGACAGAGATGGGAAAGAAGAATAAAAGAAGCTGAAAATGACAGAAAAGAGATTCTAGAGGAAATTAAACGACAGCAGAGAGAATGGGAGGATGAGATGAAGCGAAGGTTGAGAGAACGAGAGGAAGAAGAAAGAAAAAGAAAAGAAAAACACGAAGAACAACTGAGAGAAAAACAAGAAGAACTGGAGAAAATGAGAAAGAGATTTGAAGGAGAAAGAGAAGAAGAACGACAGAAGATGGAGGAGGAGAGACTAAAACAGAGAAGAGAAAGAGAAGAAAAGGAGAGAGAATATGAGGAAAAGAAACAGGAGACAAACAGACATTATGAACGACTGGAGAGAGAGAGAAAAGAGGAGTGGGAGAGAAGAAAACATGAAGATGAAGAGAGACGAGAAGAAGAGAGAAAGAAATGTAACAGAATGATTGACGTTTTGCAGCGAGAGCATGAAGATGAGATCAATAGAAGAGAAACACAAGAGAAAGAAAGACAAAAAAAAGAAGAAAATGAAAGAGATGAAATGAAACAGAAACATGAAGAGGAAATAAAACAGATAAAGAAGAAACATGAAGTTGAGGCCAGAAAACAAGCAGAGGAACTGAATGACTTCAGAGAGAAAAAAGAGCAGCTCATTCAGGAGCTTCAGCAGATGCTGGAAGAACGTCAGAAACAACATCAGATACTGGAGAAGATTTATCAACACCTGCAAGAACAGAAAGAAGAGGAAATCAAAGACCTACTACAAGAAGTTGAGAGAATGAAGAACAAATATAGCTGTAACATTCTGTGATGGTCACCTTTCCTGTTTATAGCTACTGCTTTCTATTACTAATGTCAAATCGGATTTCTGTTGTGCTGCTTAAAATATCTCCTCATCTGATTGTCCTTCCTTTTTAAATGGGTTGTTAATTCTGAGACATGCTGTTGTATTTTTACAAATTAACAAAAATCATATCTGATATACTACACAATACCATAATACACATACTACACAGTGATTTATAGATTTTAATAAAATAATTAAAAACCCCTTGACACTCCTACTTCAAATCTGTATACTTCCAAAAACTAATAAAAGTTGCTTTTGAATAAAATGCTTTTAGGATTTGCCCCAGTGTTTTTTGTAACCTGTGTATGTAGTGGAATCAAAAGTTTCAATGTAAGTGTTTAACTGTAAAGTTATGTAAATGGTATTTTACATTTTGAGGTAAATATGATGACATTCTTGGCAACGTTTGAGTCTAACAGGCCAAGTGTCTGAGACAAAAAAACTTTTGTCTACATGTACTTCCGGACCATTGGCAAGGTCCCAATGTCTGTGCCTTTGTCTCTATAAAGTTCAAGAAAGGAATGCCAGGCTGATTAGATTAGCAGCACCTATGCATTTAAATTGGTTTTGTTATGCTGCTGAGATCATGACCACGACTCAGTCCTATACTTCATTTGCATGCTTTAAGATTTGTCTCCACCTCTATGAATCACAACCCCCTAAAATATATTTCAAAAGTTCACACCTAGCTGGTGATTGATTACAAATCATGTTTGACATGCTGTCCTCTGAGAGAAAGCCTTTGCTCCCTCATAAGCCTCATAAGGCTCCCTCCTGTTTGTAGGGTGAGAGGGAAGTTGGAGCTAAGGTAGATCTTGAGAACTCCTCTGGCTTATTATGGCTAATGGCAAAGTCTGCACAGAACTGTCAACTGGCCTAGTAAGGACCAGATCCAGTCACCTTCGTGATGTGCTAACAGTGCTAACCACTCGACCACCATGATACCATATCTAGAATAAGGAGGAGTAAGGGTGGGACTGTGGATTCTTCAAGACCACCCTCTGAATTAACAAATTTATATGTATAAGTATTTATGGTTAGTTAAGAAATATTTCATTGGAGAATCATGTGTTTGCTAATGCGCGACCAGCTGTGATTAATCATTAGCATATGGTCCTCTGGACATTTATGAATAATCATCACATAATATACAGGGTAACACTGCACTTGATAAACTTCTTTAGGACTTCGCTCAGATTTTTCTTAGACTTCTTTAAAGCCCTGCTCACACTGTGGGATTTCAGCCTCAATTAGGTCGTCTGAGACACATTTTAAAAAACCTACAAAATTTCAGAAATTCTAGGCTATGGTCATTGTTTTGACATGTCCCTAGACAGCCATTTAATAATGGTTGTGATCAGATTTTCCCTCAAATGAAGTTCTGGTAGTGTTTCAGACACTTTCCTGCACTGTAACAGCAGATACGATGAGCATCAAACCGAGAGCGTATAGGAGCACTGAATCTGATGTGGCAATCTGAATAACAACTTTAAACCTGTTCAAACAGTTTTTTCTACCTGGTTTTATTACTGAGGTACACGGTGTGCAGCTACACGTTGTTTATGTTTGCTGTGAGATATCATTTCAGAACGCAGAATAGTGAAAGTGTCATGGATGGACGACATCAATCTTCAGGTAAGTTTTCTTCCTCCTTTGGTGTGTTTTTATTGTCATTCAGTCGGACATTATGACAGCTGAGATCTTGTGTGACATGTGAGACATGTTCATGCAGTTTGACTTTCTACAATCATTTAGGATTATTGAAAATCACAGTGTGAGCCGGGTTTTAGACTTCTTTTTAGACTACTTGCTCAGACTTATTTAGACATCTCGAAGACATTTTTTCTATCTTTTTAGACTAGTCACTCAGACTTCTCCTAGACTCCTGTTAGTCTTGTCTTCTCTATTTCCACCTGGGGAAACTCATCCCAAGACCTCTAGAGATCGTGCAGCACCATTAATGTAATCCAAGTTCTTTGAAGAGATGATCCTGGACCAGGCCGTATCCTGAGCAGATGCTGTGGTGGTCTTGGAGTGCAGAGAATGAGACTGATTACTGAAAGACCCCAATGACAGACATTGGCCTCATGGCCCAGACTGTACACCCCGGTGACCTACTCACACCTGCAGCTTCTCCATGATGGAGGTCCAGGGTTCTTCAGCCTCTGGTGCCTAGACTGGATAATCTGAAACATGTATTGTTCTCTGATGAGTCCACCTTCACCATCTTTCCCACATCCAGGAGAGTTATGGTGTAGAGATGCCTAGAATGAAGCATGGGGGTGGATCAGTGATGGATTGTTCTGTAATAACATAGCATTTCCTAGGCCCAATACTTGTGTTAGATATGTGCGTCACAGCTAAGAATGACTAAACCATTCCGGAGGATCATGTGCACCCAAAGGGTCAAACATTGTATCCTGAAGGCAGTCCTGTGTATCAGGATAATGCACCAACACACACAGCAAGACTGGTGACAGAGTGATTTAATGAATATGAAAGTAAAGTCGAACATCTCCCATGTCACGGTCACTAAATCTAAATATTGAGCCACTCTAGGATGTTTTGGAGGAGGGAGTCAGGAGATGTTTTCCTTCATCAGCATCACGTAGTGACCTGAACACTATTCTGACAAAAGAATGGATCAAAATCCCTCTAGCCACTGTGCAGGACTTGTATCTGGCATTCCCAGACAAACTAATGCTGTCTTGGCCTCAAAAGGAGGCCCTCCACCATACTAATGAATTTTGTGGTCTAAAACCAGGTGTTTCAGTTTCATTGTCCAACCCCTGTAGTTACCTGATTGTGATATATGCATTATAAAATATCAACATATATCTGTTGCCCATGGAAGAGGAGGGGAAACACAACCATATCACCCTGCCCAAAACCACTTACTTACTGAAGCTAAGCAGGGCTGAGCCTGGTCAGTACCTGGATGGGAGACCACATGGAAAAACTAGGCTGCTGTTGGAAGTGGTGTTAGTGAGACCAGCAGGGGGCGTTCAACCTGCAGCCTGTCCTAATGCCCCATTAAAAGTGAAGGAGACACTATGTCTTTCGAGTGAGACATTAAACCGAAGTCCTGACTCTCTGTGGTCATTAATAATCCCATGGTACTTATCGTAAAGAGTAGGGGTGTAACAGGTGTCCTGGCCAAAGGCTCTCAATCGGCCCTTACGATCATGGCCATTCACTGAATAGGATAACAGTGCCAGTGCTCTCACCACTCACAAGCTATAGGGAGAGTGGAGAGACAGTGATAGAGCCTGTGGCTGCCGTCGCATCCTCCTGTGAAGCGCTTTGTGTGTATGACCATACAGGACAAATGTGCTATATAGATACACATTACAGTACATTACATTATAACATGTACCCAGAAAACACACACTTTTTAATTTAATATTTTATTATAAGAGCAAAAACGCACACCTTCAAAAATCAATCACACTTGATTAAGATTAAGTGCAAATAAAATGTAATTAGATCTTGGAATATATTGTAAGATCATCTACAGATGTTTTTGTGAATGTTGGTGGTCAATTACTAATGATTGTTTTGTTTTCTTAATATTAACGCACATAGGCTACACATATACTATCTATTTTAATATTAATTTAATTGATTTATTTAGCTTTTTAGAGAGTGTGTAGTTAAAGTCTCTTTTGGGAAGTTATTAGTTAATAATTTAAAAGTATAAAGTTATTAAAAATAAAAATATTAGAACGGGTTAGAAAAATATCTTACCAGGAAAAGCATTCATTGTAGGTAAAGATAATATATATATATATATATATATATATATATATATATATATATATATATATATATATATATATATATATATATATATATATATTTTTTTTTTTTTTTTTAATTAGAAAGTGAGATGTAGTACATTGTTGTTGTTTTGTCTCTGCATATGAGTTGTAATACACCAACTTGTTTATGTATTGACATACACTCATATCGACCTTAATCTAATTAAAAATGTTTACGTTTCACTTTGCTAAACAACATTTTAACAAGTGTTTAACATGCCTCTTCATGGCGTTTGGTTTGGTGTGATCATAAATTTCTGGAGGCTCATAGTAAAACTGTGCTGCCTCCCTCTACTGGACGCTTCAGGAACAACAGAGCCGTAAACTGTCTAGATCTGCCAAGTGTGCAGTCTCTGTGCTCGTCTTCGTCCCTCCTCAAGAGGGCGCAGGTGAGTTTATTCTGCGCGTGCACGCTTGGTCATTTGAGCGTCTTTATGGCAAGCCGCTTCAGTTTCACTTTAACATGTTCCCAGTGTTTGTTTTCCTAAATGTATTTTTATGATCTGATTATTGTTTTTTTGACAACTGTATTGGTCCTCTGTGTATATTGGTGGCATGTTAAAACCAAGAATGTTGTGT